GCCTCGACTCTCCTCGGCCGGCGCTACAAGCCTGACAGATCTCTCACAAGTTCTGCTTTGCTTTGAAATCTAGAGACATTTTTCAGGGCCTGTAGCCAGAGGTGGTGTTTGAGGGGGAATTCATCTGCACGTCTCATGAGCTAAATTCAGATCCGCACACGAGTCGAGGCCGTCTCAGGCTGCTGTTTGAGGACGGCGAGTTGACGCGGCCCGCCGTGAAAACACAGCAAAGTGTTAAAGAAAGCAAAGAGAAAACAGAGCTTTTCTGAGGAGGTGTGACAGCATTTTTCTGAAGGAGTGAAACAGGAAATTTAAGTGACTGAAATTGAAAAGAGAAAGTGGAGCTTTTTAAATGATTATTTTTTCCCTCATTCATTCAATCGACCGGCGTATCAATCCCACACCTGTGTGCTCAGATGTGAGTCAAGGGGTGAAACTTTTTCCTGTTGTGGTTTTCTTATGAGCACATTCATTTAAAGGGGAATTTTCTTTCTTAAATCAATAAAACAGTTATTGATTTCGTAAAGACGCTTGCGTGTCACAAAGCCCGGGCCTGTACTCGTATGATAAAAAAAAAAAAAAACTTTTCAGATTTAGAGATACTGATAATAACTCGCCAGTCATGCCCACAAAGTTCTGCACGGTCATCCAGTGTGTGTTCTCAGAAGGACGGAGGAACTTCTCACAACTCAGACACCTCTCAGACGAGTCATGCTCCTCTGCCCTCACTGCTACACTGAGTCCAAGTTCTGGGTCTCGCAGTGTTTTGGATGTTTTATTTAGCACGCGGTTTAAAACGAAAACGTGTGCTTCTTAGATCGACTACTCAAGTCCCTACAAAGCAAGACATTTAAAAATAAAGTTTCTTTCCAAAGGGGGTCGTATTTTAAAAATCGTCACTTCGCCTCGATGAGGAAAATGGAGTGGGCGTGTTCTCCGCTCAGTGCGGTATGATGCAGCGATGTTAAAAGAACAGATGGAATAATTACATCTCTCATTACAAGTGCTAAAAAGACGCCTTTTCAAGTGGAGGAATGTTTGTGGGTCTTGTGTGTTAATTGTCGTGCCCTGTTTGTTTGTCTAAAAAGCAGAAGTGCAACTATTTCAAAGGTGTATCAGCATGACTTGCACTTCCTGTTCAGCTGTTTATTTGTGCATGTGCAGCGTTTCGCAGAAACATTTAATGCCAATGCATACTGATAAACCAGCAAGTCCTTCCTCTTACCATGTAACGCTAATACTAACAAATGGGTGGTGAAATCACCCGCTGTTTGAAGCCACAGGGCCTCAGTGATGGTATTTTTATTCTCTAATTTTGTTATCCAAAGGGCTAATACAAAATAATGAGGCCGCAAAGGACACAATCATAAACCCAATAATCTGTTAGTTAGATCACAACTATTAAACCTTGACTCTCAATTTGCTCTTTTATCTGCTTATTGATCGAAGTGGATTTAATGTTTTAAATTAACACTGCTATAGTGATTAGTGTGCCAAAACAAGATTAAGAGTGTCCTAGAAATACCAGGATGTTTTACTACATGTGGTCACATTTGGCAGTTTGCAAGCTTCTTTGTCTGTTCTTACCCACAAGTCTTTGCACAGCAAATAGATGAGAAAGAGGGTGAAAGTTCAAGGGGGGATTTACGTCCCAATTGGATGCAAGTTGGATGAAAATGAATAATCTGCAAAATTGTCCAAGACCAAATGTGTCTAATACTGGACAACGTGGGGCCTACCAAATGTAAAGCCAGTTATTTTATAAAATATGACAACAAATTCTATAAAAATCCCCAAACAAACAATATATAGATCCAACTAACGAGTTATAATTTATATCTCCTTTTCCTCTGAGCCACAGTGCTCTATTAAGAATGTGTTGGTGAGCCTCACACACACACACACACACACACACACACACACTGTGGTTTATTCTGAGTCACACGCACAACGTCCTGCTGCCACTACAGCACGAAATGTGGAATCCACAAACGGCCCTTTTCCTCCTGTTTAACTAGCGTTTCACGAGAAACTGCAGGGCGTTTAGATGAGATCACTGAGCCCCTTTTCAAAATAAACCCACACATCTCATTTTACCAACGCACGGCCTTAAGGTGCCCCGGGCGGTGAGCTCGTCTGAGAGTGCTCAGAAAAAGGACAAACGTTGGTTTGTTGATAACACGAATGCAGAATGATAACGTCGTTTGTGTCGTGCATGAAGCACGAGAGCAGAGTTTGAAAGCTGTGAAATAGAAATACTGGTCTGCAGTCAGTGGATTCTTCTGCAGTAAGACCCAGCAGAGGGTTCTGTGCCCGGAGAGCGCTCGTGTCCGGCAGCAGCTGTAGACTGGCATGTTTTCGTTACAGATGATCAGGCGTTCGCACGGTGACAAATACTGGACCTGAACTCCTGTCTGGACGAATCAGCGGGAGCGCTCATGTAGAAAAGTCCTCTCCCTGGTGAATATCCAGTCTTCTCTCTCTCTCTCTCTCTCTCTAGCTCAGTATGCATCCCCTGGACAAACCCTTCACTCCTCCCATCCTCCCTCGTCCCACATCTACAGTTTGTTTAGACTCTTCTTTTCTTAAATGTCATCACCAGCTGATTTTTACGGCATTTCGTCCCGAAACAACGTCCACCGAGAAAAAAAGGAAGAAAAGGCTTCAGTTATGAGTATTTGTGTGCGTCCACATCTGTATCGCGCTGAGTGAACCGGAGCGGCACACTGGCAGGCCGGTTAGGGAGTCTGTCTGATGGATGGATGCTAGTTTGATTCCCACATTCCTTTCTCTTCTGCAAACGGACAAATACATGTGTGAGATAAGTGAGATGGCAGCAAAGCCGCTGTATGTGCTTCGTTATTGACTTAACTGTGAGCACGGTGCCCCCCCCCTCCTCGCCACACACTCTCTGTGTTGTGTTTTCTATGGTTTACCCCCTTGCTAAGTTCTGTTTTCCTATAAAAGGCTTCATATAAGTGAATCGACAATATCACTGGAGCAACAAAAAAAAATCTCCTTTCAAGATTAGTCTCACCCGCCGTGGGAGTGTTGATCCTTTCATACGCCGAGTTTCTGTTTTCACTTGTATTAAAACTCCGCAGTGGAAGAAGAGCCGCTTCACCTGTTGTTTGAGGGCCACCAAGAGAACTGCTGCCACGCTTCTGTTTCACAGAGAACTGGGACTGATTGTTAGACCGGACTCGCCATGTTGCCAGAAAGACCCAACTGGGACGGCTCAGAGCGGCGTTTTGTCTTACCAGCGCGTGTGTGTGTGGCACACAATCCCAAATACATTCTTCCCCTTTTTTGAGGATTCTGCTATAATTAATATAATACAATAATTAATAATAATAATTAATTAATAAGAGAATGCGTGCAAAGTTCATGATTTGCAAAATTATTTTGAGCTTTTCATTCAAATGTATTTGAAACTATGAGCCAAATAAATAGTGTTCTGATGTTATTTAATACATGCGAGAGGTGTTACAAGTATTGTTTCAACACCACATCTAAATTCACATAATTTAAATTTAGTAACTTTGACTTTCTATTTTTCAGTGCACTTATGATGCTGGTTGGTTTTCATGCTTCAAAATAAAACTTATATTTACACAAGTCATGTGTTCTGTACACAAAGTTACACATGGATTTCACCATATACTGTTCGTACAGTGATCAGTTGTCACCTGAGAACATGAATAAGAGAATGTTTTGGAGGAAGAGGGCCATTGGCTGTGTGTTTCAATAGTGTCTTCCTCTCCTTGCTGTGTAAACGCGTGCGTGCAGATACATAAAGACGGACCCTGCAGGTGTCCGGTTAGCCTGCAATGCATCGTCTCTTCACACACCTCACTTGTTTCTACACCACTAAATGACCAAAGCGCTCCAGGGAGGACGCGCTGAATTTAAATGAGCTAAATCTGCATCCAGCGGGGATGACAGTTCTACTTTGCTTTATAGAAAAAAAAGATGCCAACGTGTTACTGGAAAAGGGTGTTTCTGATTGGACCTTTTTTGGGGGGGGGGTGTCAAATAATGACCAATTTAAGTCATGCACTGTATAAAACACACTAATTCCTTCCGTTTTCACCTACACACTTATTTTATGGATTGATATAAACATGTTTCATTGTGCAGGCAGTTTAAAACAACTCACTCACATTGAACAAAGCACAAAGGGGGATTGGGGGCAGCGGTGGCTGCTCATTACCAATGCTCCACAGCCCCCGGTGACATTAGCTGGTTTAAAACAGCCGGGCCAAATGTCAAACACGTTGCCCTGATTTATAAACAGCAACTACACAGTGGGGGCCTCATATAGACCCAGAGTGCACAGCTCATATGCAAACGCACGAGTGAGGATGAGGTGAATGAATCCGGTCTAATTCTCTGGTGTATTTATCGGAACCAAAGATGCTGTGGAACGTGTTTTCATTTTAGTTCACTTTGGGAAATGCATTTATTTGTTTTTGTCCCCGAGAGTTGAGAGTTTATTATAAATCATCCGCGAAGAAGTTAAATGAGTGTATTCCCAAATTGTCTTTTTATTGCAAAATGATGCAACCTGTTTTCTTCATTGAAACACACTCATGTTCCACGGTTACTTTTGAAAAATATTATACTGTGTATAATATAAAAACAGGAACTTCTCAACAGGGGTTATTAATCCTGTAGCACTGAGTGCTTCTCCATCAGGATGTTGGGTGTAAACAGGAGTATGCTGATGCAGAGAGTGTGTGTGTGTGTGTGTGTGTGTGTGTGTGTGTGTGTGTGTGTGTGTGTGTGTGTGTGTGAGAGTGTGTGTGGTTGTGTGCATTCTCCCTTGGTTGGACACGGCTTCTCTCCTCCTCCTCCTCCTCCTCCTCCTCCTCTTCCTCCTCTGGGCCGCCCTGAACTCCCCGTCAACCCGTCTCACTGAAGCCCTCCGTGTTCAACCCGAGATCAACGTGTAAAGCTCCAGCAATCAGGAGCAACTTCTAGAGGATGAGAGACATCTTTTATTAACAGCGGCATTAAATATTCAGGATACAGCCCCGCCGTCCGCCGTTCCCTCGTCCATTACAACTACTCTTCTTTCTTCAGAGTCTGTTGGTCACGAGGTCCAAACAGGAATCACCTCCCGTTCATACATTATTGTTCTTAAAGGGGCACTTGGAGTGTCTTCCATGTCAGTGTGTTACTATTGCGTTTGAAAGCACGTCACTTCCTCTTAATTGTCTTAATCGAGAGTTTTTTGGGGACAAACTGCATTGACAACGCTGAAGATCTCAGGATTGAGTTTCCAGTCCCGATGTCAAAAATACTTTTACTTGATGTTGTTGTTTTTGAACAACTGCATAATGTCAGCATTTTATATCCAACTAATACGTCACTATCAGATTCCAAAATGGAAGTATTGTCGAGATCTGTGGTCTATTTTTTTTATTTAGGACAGTTGTAATGCGTTTCGCAGCTGTAAAAAAAAAGCATTTTCTTTTAGAAAGGAAATCCTTGTGTGGACAAACGATACTGATCGATCATATTGTTCCCTGTGCGTTTATCCAGGAGAATGTTTCCTTTCCTGGGCTTCAACATCAGTGTTCTGGATCCGTCCGCCCACTACAACGTCTACGTGGACGTGGTTCTGGCGGATCAGCACCACTGGAGGTACCAGGGCGGCAAGTGGGTCCAATGTGGGAAGGCGGAAGGTAACATGCCAGGTATGTCATGACGCGTAAGACACCGAGATTTGTCCTGCTCAGGCAATTATTGTAGTTTTCTTTACTGATGCGAAATAGACCCGAATAAATTACACAGCCATAATTAAGGATGACAACGCAGCATTAAAGTAATGCAGCCATTAATGCATCAATTATTTAATCAATTATTTTAAAATGGGGCAACATGCAGAGTAAGTAGTTTTGTCATTTTAAGTACATTTCAAGACTTAAATTCTTTATTTAAATTTCCTGAATCTGAGCACCAACATGCAGAGTTAAAATCTGATCTTTTTTTTGTCTCCCAAACATCAGAATCTTCTTAAATCATAAAACTTACCGTTGGACTATGCTAACCTTTCTCTGGGGCTTCTGATAGCAAAACACTGAGGACTCAGGTGATCAAACTCTGGTCAATCGATGAGCCTGAGAATTCAGCTCAATGCGCAAAACAAGGGGATCCTGAGGAAGTGGTTTATTTAGCAATATCGCAGCAACATGCACACAGCAGACGTGCATCACCATGCACAAGCAGTCTGAGAGGTTTCTGTGGATATATTCATGCATCAATGACTCTCTGAATTCTGAAATGAGACACCCTGAATAATGAGTACATATGTCAGTTGATGTATTGCTGTCAGTGTTTAGCAATAGCAGGGAATGCAGATTTCGGTTTGATGTTATTTAGAAACTTTGTCTCCACAGCAACTGGGTTTAAAAGCATTTCAAAGGGTTTAAAATGTGATAGTTATATAAAGGATATCTTGGTTGCAGACTAAATGACCAAATTTGTATTAACATTGCTTATCAATATCAGCCTCCATTAATCCAGTATCAGTAAAACGTTACAGGATCTTAATGGTGGATTTTGCAAAAGAATGATTGAAGGTTAAACTGTTTTTTTTGTCTGATTTCTTTAACTAAATAAACTATTTATAAACCAATCATCTGAAAATGCCGCTGTCAGAGAATTGAAATAAGTCATGAAACGTTACTTTGGCCCGAGTCTCTGAAGGACTGCATGTGATCTTTGGGAATATCACGGAGAAGCACATCGTTGAGGGAACTGAAAACGCTTGATGCTCGAATTCGCTTCAGAACCTTCACCACTGTCGTCCTCTGTGGTGTGCAGAAGTATCTGGTTATTATTTTTTATCCAATTTGAACTTCCTTTGAGTATTAGAAATAGTTGTTAAATCCCTTCATGCATCTCCCCGGATACATTATGACACCACATTTCTTGTTTATTCAAATGGATTCTTCTCGGACGTATTTATTTAACTATTTCATTATTATTATTTATTATTATTATTATTTCAATCATTATTTCCGTCTCCGTAAACATGATGGATCTGGTTTATCTTACTTCCTACATCATTATTATTCTTCCTGTTCACACCTCGGAAAACCAAAAAACAGCAAGTCAACCGAGCTGATATTTAGTGAGTGATCGCCGATAACCACAATTATACAAATGAGAAAAAGTTCAAGGTGTTGTCACACATGTGCCAGGTGTTGTGCAAAGGTGACGATGTGCTTACAGTTGTGGAAACTGTGGTGAAACAGCTTTGCTCAATTAGATTTAATAGTTTGCGTATGCGGTGGGTTAGCCAAAGTTTATCGGGTCATTGTGGTGATGCCGAAAAAATCACGGTACAAAGAAATTTATTGCAATAATTCTCTAAAAAATACTTTTGACCTTCTATAAAACTTATATATATTATTTAATAATTATATTAAATAACATAAATGTGTATTTTATCTAATAATCTACTCATAGCACTGTATTATATTAGTTGAATATTTATTCAAGCATTAAACAGTCATAACACATTAGAAAGCATTTTATGATCATTTATGATCAAGGTCAAATATCTTAATAATTAATTATCGCTGGCACTAATTACTCTGCAAGGATCATAGTGTATTATAATTCACATTTTTGAAATAGATTATAATCTTTTTATAACATATTATAGTGTGATAACAAGTTTTATGTGTAATTATTTATATAAGTGAAAAATGTAGTTATTAAATGACAAAACAATTAATTAATTTGGACTGTATTTCCAGTGAATCTTGACACTTAAAACTTCGAGTAACATTGTATCATAATATTGATTATAATGCAATATAGAGAGTATAAAGTATTTCCACTATGGGAATTTTAATGCATTATGATACTTGCAAAAAATGATGCTATTAGTACAATAATATTTTACCATATGTCATTATGTGATGCTCTATGATGGGTTATGACTATTGTTATAGAGTATTACGTTTATGGCTATATAGTGCTGGGATCAGATTTTAACATATTCTAAGCATGTTTATGATGCATTATGGTCATAGAAAGTGCCACCAACTCCTACTCTGTCTCAACTTTTTCATCTAAAAATACCCTGTCAATCCCCACTCATAGTTAGCACCATCTATAACGTTAGCATGAACTTTGCAGGCTCAACAAAACTTCTACTTTTCTTTTTTTTTTTTAGGTAAGAAAAACCTTCAACAGGTCGTTTAATGTTGCATGTGGTGTTTTTTCAGGAAACAGGATGTACATGCACCCCGACTCTCCCAACACAGGAGCTCACTGGATGAGACAAGAAGTGTCCTTCAGCAAACTCAAGCTCACCAACAACAAGGGCAGCACCAATAATGTGGCACAGGTACTGTTTCCTGCTTCCTGTTGCCTGCCTGTTACTATATTAGGAGCTTCTGCAGCCTCGGCCTGGTGTTCATCTCCCTTTTTAGCATGATCAAAAATGTTTCTGTCTTTGCTGCTTGTCACTGAGATGCATCCAATGTCTCTTTGTTGTCTCTAACATCTCCCCCTCTGCTCTCACACTTCCTGCCCGGTGGTTTTCTATCAATCAAAGGCAGACATTTTTAAAAATACCTGTCCCTTTTTTTCTTTCTCTCTCGCTCTCTCTTCTGCAGATGATCGTGCTTCAGTCGCTCCACAAGTACCAGCCTCGTCTTCACATCGTGGAGGTGAAGGAGGACGGCTCCGAGGATCCCTTCCTCTCGTCCAAAGCTCAGACCTTCATCTTCCCGGAGACTCAGTTCATCGCCGTCACCGCTTATCAGAACGCAGACGTGAGGGTCGTTTCTTGAAATTATGGTCAACCTCAGATTAGTTTAGTTAAGGAGAGATCATCCTTTTTAACGCACTGATGCACTGTTCCCTTTAGAGAACCGTTACCATTAGATAATTCCTCGTTTGTTGAATGAATGTATTTTCACTTTCATTTATGGAGTGATACAAACAGATACAAGAGTTCTAACTCCGTTATAGAATAACAAACAGACAACATTTTTGAATCCAGCTTCATGTGTTTTCAGTAAGCACACATTTAATATATAAAATAAAGCCTCAACACAATCACAAAACTTTATAATCTCGTATCAGTACTTAAATGGATTTTGCTTCATGCATGCACGTATCAAAAACGCACACACGCTAATTTCCAATCCTACGATCTGCTGCCTTTATGCTACGCGGTGGCAGTTGTATCACCGCACCCAAGCTGACCCCCCCTCCGCACTATGCACTGCACATAGTGTGTCCTTAACAGCTGTTCAGATACATTGCGGAGGAGTTACTGTAATCCAAAGCAACACACAGGCCCATTTCGACGATTTCTATTCTTTCACTATATATATGCATATTTGCGTATACCTATAAACATCCAGAGGAGAAGTTACATGTAATCCTCATTCATTGTGAGTCGGCGACCTACTCTGTCCGTCGTTCTCTTGTTTCTCCTACATGGCTGCTCATTCCTTCTCTCCCTTTTTTCTTCTTTCATTGCTCTCATTGCCCTCCTCCGATTCCTCACACAGATCACTCAGCTGAAAATAGACCATAACCCCTTCGCCAAAGGTTTCCGCGACAACTACGACACGTGAGTATAAAATTGCATTAAAAAAAAGTGCATTTGCAAAGATTACAGTTAATTGGTAAAACAGTAAAGAGGGATTTTTTGTATTTAATCTAAGGTTTGCTCACAGTGAGACGGGATAATTGCTGCTACTGTGTTTTATTATTGTAATAGAAGTAATTACTGCGCTGCTGGAGCTGCAGTGAAAAAGGTGTGAGGGCCCGTGTGATGTTTGATAGATAGTTTGAGGTTTTGAGCAGGAAATAACACCTTCTTCTGTTTTTTTTTCTGTCTTCTCACACTCTCTTCTGTCGCCCTCCCTCCTCCCCGCCGCCTATAGGCTCTACGCTCCACCCGACTCTGATCGCCTCACCCCCTCCCCTACAGAGAGCCAGCAGCTGCTACCAGGAGGCTGCTACCCTCAGGGGTACCTCTCTGAGCAGTACATGAGCCCCCTGTCCCAGGGCCGCTTCTTCAGCCGCGAGCCCATGGCCGTGGGCCAGCAGCACAGAGACCCGTCCTCCAGCCCGGGTCCCCACAGCCGCTGGTACCTGCCGCCCCAGCAGGGCGTGGCCGCAAACCGGCTCGACTTTGCTTCCTCCTTCGATGGGGACTTCTCTGGAAACGGCTTCTACAAACCCTTCCCCCTGCAGACATCCGCTCACCACGCGCTCAGCTACTACCCGGACCACCATTTTGCATCGACGAGCGTGTCCGTCTCGGGCGCCGCCTCGGCGAGCTGGTCCACCAGCCGGCCCACCCCTCAGTACCTCGGCCACCCGGGCAAGGCCGCCCCGGGCCTGGGCTGGTTTCGGCCCTTGTCGTCCTCCTCGTCCTCCTCGTGCTCCTCCACGTCGCCGGGCAACCCCCGGCTGCACCCGCCCTCGCTGCTCGAGCCCCTGCATCCGCCCCCGCTGCAGGACAAGTCCAAAGACACAGCGGAGGCGGCGGCGCAGGACCCCTGGCTCGAGCCCGCCTCCGTGAAATCGGCGGCCTCGGCCAACTCTGGCCTGTTTGAGGGCAGCGCCGGGGACGCCAAGAAGAGGAGGATGTCGCCGTACACGTCCAGCACTGAAAACTCCCCGGCCCCCCGCGGGGCAGAGGTCCGCGAGAAGGACAGCAACGTCGACGCAGACTACTATGGCTATTACACCCACTGAAACCCCAAGTCGCCACAATGCCCCCCCCCCCTGCCCCTCCTGCCTACCCCTCCACACACCGGCCTCATGAACACGTCTGTTCAGGCAGGTCATCATTAGGGGCTGGAACGGTCTTTGATTCGGCTGCAGAAAGACAAACAAAAAACGTGCAGCCTCGTCTTCTGTCACATCACAACCCCCCCCGGCACCCCCGGCCCCCCCGGCCCCTCCTCTTCCTACTCGAGGTGTCAAATGATTATAGGAGAAACTTCCAGGTTTGCTGTCAAAGTCAAGGTTGAACTGAAGTGGAGGTGACTGGGGGAAACTGCCCTGCAGTCACACAAACACCACACGGACAAACAGACCTGCGACTTGTGGAAACAAGTGGAGATTTGGGAAAGGTGCGTTGGGAGAGGGAGGGGGGAGGTGGGGGGGTGATATCTGCATATCTGCTTTGCTGACAGACGCCTGCAGGGATTCTGTTCTTTCCGCGTCAAACACTCTCTTTTTGCTCCGTCTTTGTCTCCATCTGTCTCTTCCTTCTCACCCTCAACCTTTCACACGTACTCATGCAATATGCTGGCGGTCATTTCACCCTGATGATTCTGAGCAGGAATTACGTTTCTCACACACACACACATACAGTTGTCTCTCCCAATTCAGCTCAACTGGTTTCAAGTGCAGCGCCGACTGGTGGCAGCAGGGGAGCGAACCGAAGGCAGGAGGTTACGATGGCTTAGCGAGCTCATGTCAGCCGTGTGTGTGAAGTGAATCAGTATCCACAGCAGAGAGAACGACTCCTGAGATAATCGAAGATCTTGACCAAAGAACTGGTCTCTATGAGTTTTGAGTCTGGGACAACAATCTGTACTTCATAGGACCAGGATGTTTGCAGATCTGAGCTTTTTGAACTGTGATGTGATAAGATTCAGTGAGACAGTTAATATTAAAATGCCTAATTAGATGAAATCTCATCTCAGACCTCAGAGTTGTTTAAAGAGGGAAGCTAATTAGAACAATGTTTTAAATTCAAGCAGAAATAACATTTGCAGGTTCTATCCCTTTAAAATGTGACAGTTTTCTGTTTGTCATTAATTAACTGAACACAAAAGACTTTTTTTTAACTTGTTGGTTCCGAGGCTTTTGAACGTGTCTCAAGGGCTTCTTCAGTGGATGGAGTAGCCTGGTTGCCTCACAGATGATGAGCGTGACCTCGGTGTGGGACATCGATCAGGGGACAACAGGTGAACCTCTTCTTAATTCAAAGATGGCTTTTCTGTTCTCTGACTGGACGCCGCCCCCTGCTCAATGGCCTTTGACTTCTTGGACATTTATGGATAGGTTATATAAAACATTTAGTTGTTAGAATTGAAAAAAAAGGCCTCGTTATAGCAAAAACACGGCTCTCTGCTGCAGTCAGTGGATGCGAAAATGCTCCTGTCGTCCCACACGTAGAGCCTGCAATCACTACCAGCATCAATAACGATGGACCCACAAACACCAAACAAGTGCACCCCATCAGAAACAAATTGCAGTATTCAGATCATCCAAAAAGGGAGGCTTCCCTCTGCAGCATCTTGCCGTGGTGCCTGGTGTTTTTTCCCGTGCAGGCGTGTTAAATAAAGTGGGTCATTCAGCCCGGCTTACCTGCACCTGTCGGTAAACAGACGGGTCCCTGTCACCCTCAGACCCGCCACAAACAGGAAGCGCAAAGTGACCAGACAGACACTCTGAATTTCCTCCCGGGGTCTCCGGGCCAATCATGCCGTGACTCCGGCTGACACGGGACCCCGGCTCCCGGCCCGCTGACAGAAATGAAGAGTGAGGCGGCAGTCGGCGCTGATCAGAGATCTGCTCCTCATTCCTCAGCCAGGTGCGCTAACGGCCTCGGACAACACTGGAGGCCACAGACGGGCCACCCGCTCGCCGCGGCGCAGGGTCACTTTAGTCTTTATTGAAGTGAGTGAAGAAATTACAAATAAATCTGCCCTTGATTCATTGTAATCGGTACCGGCATTCTGTACTTTAGGAGATGTAATAGTCTCCATGTTCAGTGAGTACAACCAGATAACTAAATATATGGATACTTTGAGAAAGGGTGTCACAATTTCTGGGGCATTCTACTGTCATTTCTGTACGCTAAAATCATATCATAGCATAAAGAGTTAAAGGGGGGGGGGCACTTAGCCATAACCCATCAAAAAAGCACAAATGGTCTTTGTAACACAATTGGTGAAAACTCACAATAAGTGTTAATGTGTGAGTTTCGAGGTGTGACAGGCTCGCTGTGTCCAGTGTTCTGTACTCTAACCAGGACGTTGACACCACAATAAGATTCTTCCCAAATGGTCTCAATGGTGCAAAATGATCAGGACGGCTCAGCCCTGATCACTCAAACAAGTCAAATGATGTGGAAGTGTAAAAGGATATATTGTATGTCGCTTGTGGAAAGTTTCAAAAATATCCAAAATGTATACTGTTTAGAGTTCATGCTGTTTTTTTAAAGAAGGCGTACAACGGACTATTCGGGCTTCAAGTGCAATTAGAAGAGAGTATTACGGGTTTAGTATCAGAAGGCCGCGCTGCAGGAAGCGCTGAGAGCGAAGCTGTCGTGATCTCGGGCCTGTTGACCACGTTCGGCTATTTATTTTAACGTGCTGTGGTTAATCGGGGTGGTCCCCCCCCCCCGCACCTGCACACACGAGTGCAAGATCTCACATTAAAAACAGCAGAAAGGAAGACGCTCTCAGGACCGACCCCTGCTGGATGTCTCTGCTCCCGCCGTCAATCCCCTGATGTTTGACCATCCTCCGTTTCCCATGAGCCTGCGTCGCCCTCCCTCCCCCTCAGCAAGAGAACACAAACTGTGGTTTAATTAAGTTTAATTTTCAGAGGTTTTACTGTAAAATAAAGAAATAGAGGAGTGAAGAAGGGACACCCCATGAGGTTACATGTATGTAACAAGCATGTCATTTTTTTGTGTGATCCATGTGCACTGTTTATGTCGAGGGAAGCAATAATGCTCCTTTGACACTTTGTTAAGAGATTATAAAAAGCAAAAATAAAAGATGGACATTTCTGAATGGGGAAAACTATTATTTATTATTAAAAACGTGGCATAATTGTGTATTGTATTGTTGTTTTTTTATTCATGAAATAAAGCTTACACATGATAAACCTCGTCTGTTTTGGTGATTTCCTTTTATTTACTGTATTGAGCTTTTGAACAACTGAACAAAGCACTTTTTGAATTGAATTGAATGATACGCGACGTGAGAATGAATTTAGATCATAATACTCAAACATCTTACAATCAAACAATTGATATCACTGAAAAGTAAAACACAGTTTAATCTACTGTACAGGTACAGTATTCACATGTTTCCAACCCGCTCGATATTTTTTTCACTATAAATGACATAAAAATGATCTTCATAATAAGAGTATACTGACTGTATTGAATGTCTCTTTAAATCTTTATGATAAAACCGCAGCCATGACAGAGACGAGATTCAAGCATTTGTGCTGAATAAGCTGAAACTCAATAAAAAGCAATCTTCAAAAAGAGCAGCGGGGGAAACAAGTACAGTGTAAACTGGTATTTACCTGCAACACTAACCCATGTATCACTGAATTATTCTAAGAAAATTGAGATGCGAGATACAAAGTTCTGTCCACGTTTCTTCCCCCCCCCGTGATGCCGCAGGACTCTTGGTGTGATGGAGCGACCTGGGGGCGGGGGGTGGGGTGGGGTTGAGGGGAGCCTGGGATCCGGTCACGAGAGGAGACCAGCAGCACTGTCTCCGCCCTGATCGTCCCCCAGGGCGGTTCATGTATGCCGTCTGGATACCCAGCGCCCTCAAATGTCCTTCATGACGTCGTCCCGGACGTCTCATCACCACACGTTTATGTTCTCGGTGTTTGCGAAGCCTGGATTCTCTCTGAGCTTCCAGTACGAATCATTTGACAACCACACGTCCCGGCCGCAGGAATCTTTGGCTTTCCTAAGGAGGAGGAGGAGGAGGAGGAGGAGGAGAAGGAGAAGGAGAAGGAGAAGACAGAGAAAAGATTAAGAAAGTTGAAAGAAGAACAGGAAAGGGAAAAGAAAAAGGATAACAAATACGTGCGACAATGAGGAAAACATTTGCTTTTTGATGTTATAACCAGTACAAGAAAGAGAAAAATAATTTACAAAGCTTTGATATTGATTCTTGAATTGACCACAAAATTCGAGTGAACTCAATATTTTAGTTTTTTTGTACAAAACATGACATTGCGTGGAGTTACCTCAAGCTCTGACACACTGTAATGTTCAGTTTTACCCCTTTTTTGGTCTTTAATAGACCAGGCGGTTAATAATTCAGTGTTTGGTCGGCGGTGGGTTGCAAAAGAAACAAAGTTACCTGAAGAAACGTGGAACGTGTTCTTTCCCTTTTTTATTGAGCTCTTTTCTCCGCTCCCTCTGAAACTCCTCGATGTCGTCCTTCTTTCTGTCCGCTTCCTCCACCTTTCCTTCCTCCAGCAACCTTTTCAATAGAGGAGGAATCGACAGAGTAACCTGACACGAAATTATTTTTTGTGAGTCAGTAAATTAAATGTACAGGCACTTTTTATACATGAGTTTGACTCTTTTAACACTTTTTTAAACAACACGGCAGCTTAAAGCGTGTCACATACAACATCAAAAGACAAAGTGCAAAAGAAAAGGATTTTAAAAACACATTTAAATGCTGCTTCTCGACTCACCTCTGGTCCGGACGCAGGCGGCTGTCTGTCGGAGGCAGCAGAGGCTTCAGGTCGGCGTCCAGCTCATTCAGCTCCATGGCGAGGCTGGAGAAGCCGTAGTACAGCAGGTGGTCCTTCGGCTGGGGGTCTGCGGGGGGGAGGGGGGGAGAAGGAAGCAGGTTTTTGGCGAGAGGCAGGGCTGCGTAGCGGCGTTTGCTCGTGCTTGTCACAGGCTCACTTGGCTTCCAGACGCATTTCGGGGTGGGCAGAGTGTCGCAGAAGATGCCTTCGTGCCACAGCCCTCCGAACCGGTGAATGATGCTGCCGCTCTGGTCCAGCACCGCGCCCTGCACCTCGTTCTTGTTCGTTTCCGAGCCCCAGTAACGAGACTACCGCGACAGAAAAACACAAACTCGGTCAGTGGGGATGAGGAGGGCCGAGTGGTGCGGGAATGCGGTCTCATTCACCTTGACGAAGGTGATCTTGCAGGTGCAGACGTCGCTTTTGAGGTTGCGGATGGTGACCTCTCCGTAATGCTCCAGGTAGCGCTGCTGACTGAGGACGTTGTGGATGCAGGTCACTACTTTGTTCCACTCATAGTGGTCTCCGTACCTGGGAACAACACACGCGTCAAGCACAGCGCCCAAATGCGTAGAAATGCTCATTTATTCTGGCTAAAATAAATCGCTGAGTATGCATAGTTTTTTTTACTGTTGGTTTTCATATATTAAGACATATTTTTCACAATTTTCTGGGAATCTTTTAAAAAACATATAAGATATTAATTCTATTAATTACCGGTAGTTACTGACTGTATCACTTCAATCAGTGTTTAATGTCTCTGTGATCCCAGCTGATTTCTAATAAACACATTGCTTCACATTAAGGTTCGCCTGCATGTAAAGTGCAGACTGTTTACCTTGGAAGGGTTGCGTTCACCATTCCTGTTGGCAGAATCTCCAGCGACTTCCCCCAGAATTTATTCTTCCATCGCTGGTCTGCAGGATGAAAAACCATGTGATGAACACCACTTACTGAAACCCAAATGAATGATTCGGGTTTGATGAGAGAAGAGTGTCACCTTGCCAAAAGGAGAAGTTCTCAGAGTCTGCATGGCAGGCAGAGATGGGGGGGTGATGGCAGACCTGGAGAATTATAATTTACTGATTATTATAAAAAAAGATATTGAACACCACAGTACATTTGTCATTTTATCATAATAAACACAGTAAATGTTGGAACCATTTTTTACACGTCACACTGATTTTTATGAGGATGAAGTACGCTTGAGACTTTTCTTTGTGTCAGGGACACACCCACACAGGTTCATCAACTCATTTTTCATCATACCAAATGTAAATGTGGCTATGAAATACAACATTTTAGCAAAAGAAAATCAACATTAAATGCCAAAGTCTGGGGTGTTTTTTTTTATTTTAATATAGTTTCAGCTATTCAGGCCCCTCCTCCCTTCAATACTCCTGATCAGAAGCTGATTTGCTAAAATGGAAGCTAACATCTTGTTTTACATTGACTTTAAAGAATGAGCCATAATCCAATGTCAGCATGTCTGGTAATGAACACAGTGTTTGTTGATACCTGCTCACTGATGAGGCGAAAGCCCCGGTCCTCCCTGATGCACTCGTACGTCTCGCCCAGCACCGGGTTAAACGGCTTGTAGCGGTTCCTGAACGTTGCGGTGGAGTAACCGGAGATAGCGAAGGCCGCAATGTAGACCTGACGGAGTTGTTAAGAGAATTGTTGAGACTTTGAGGTATACTTTTCAATGACAACGTTGCTTTGTTCTAAGATGTGGGGTTAGGAGTTAGGGTTAAGTTAAGTTTGCCTCAGCCAGTTCCAGCATTTCAAATTAATAATTTAAAATGCACATGAACCTTTCTTATCAACTTAAAAAGAGTAAAGCCTGATGCACAGAACTATTTGAATAGTCGCACCATCCTCTGGTAGGGGTCTGGCGTGTTGTTGGCGGTATCCAGCAGCTCACTGTACTCCAGCTCCTCACAAAGCCTCTGCAGCAGGTTCAGAGGCTCATTGAGCGGAGCGGGCATGGACACTCGAGCCAAGTCTTTACCTGAGGACAAACACAGCATAGAAAGTAGACGGTGTTGACGTAATGAACCCTTCGCTAGGCCCCAGGGCAACTGCCCTGTCCTTTCTTAGCAACCGTAACCAGGAAGAGGAGAAGTGGGAATATATTGACTTTATGCATGTTGTTGTATTTCCTGTATAATCCTTTCAAATATTTAATCATCCGCTATTATTGCCTTTGTAATATCTCTCAAGACGTCACCTACAGGGTGTGAAAGCTCAACAGGCCTAGCAATAGTAGCCGGGAGGGGAGGGGCAGACTGGTGTGGCTTGCCTATGTTATTGTAGAGGATGGCCATGAGGCCCACGTGGCTGTTGTCGGGACAGTGAGCGGGCAGCGTGGTTCGCCGGCCGGTGCTCTTGGGAACAGCGCTGTTCGGAGTCCTGGAAATGCTCGCACGGTACTTCCTGGTGGCCGACGCTGTGATGCAGGAGCAGGAAAACGAAAGTTTAAGGTTTCTTTTCAGGGAATGATAAGAGGGATGTGGTATGCAGCTGTGCTAGCTGCTCTGCACATAGGAACCCTAAACTCATTCCCTCAGTAAACAACAATGTTTACTGAGGGAATAAATCAAGAGTTCTCTCTTTGAACATTGTAAACATGATTCGCTTTCTCGTCCTGATGGACGTCAGAGACAACCGGCTTGCCGCCCGGTGAAAACGCAGCGAATGGGACACGTGCAAACGGACCCACCGTGTCCTTCCTCCGGCTCAGAATCGGTGGTGCTTCCTTCGCTGAGCCCCGATTCGTCGGACACATCAGAGGAGCTTCCACAGATGACGTCATAGCTGGCGTCGAAATACTCCGCGGCTGAATCTGCCACTGAGGGAGGCCCATGGCTCTCTGCTGCAGGCTGTTGATGGAGGAGGAGAAGAAAAAAAACACACAAGAAGCCCCGGCCATCAAAAACCAGTAAGGGAATATGTGTCAGAACCCAAAAGGCACCGCGTGGGTCTCACCTCGGCCAACGTGTTGGCCTGGTGGATGTTGTTGGTCTCCCAAGCTTCCTGCAGCTTCTGCCTCTCCTGAGACAGAGTTTCATGCACCGCCTTCAGAGAAGCAATCACTGAGGAAACATTGAAACACATATTCATGTCAGGTCCCCTCTAACGTGTGCATCGATACACGTTTGCATAGTTGCCTCTGCAGACTGGTTTCTGTGTGTAAACAGGCACGTGTCTGTTTTTCTGACCTCGCAGCGACATGGCGCAGATGTCCTGCTGGATCCTCTTGCCCTCGGGCGACGTG